ACGAAGCTGGAACGAGTAAAGTCAACGTAGAGCGAGGTAAGAAACAGCGGAGCCAACGTTTGTCAGCCTTGTAATGTTATTTGGCTAGCTCTTAATATCCATTAGCTATGATAAAAATCCTGACAAAACACGGGTTGTTTGACAGAAACGGACAAGTTTAGTGGCTCCGTCAGAGAGGATGAGACAGAAAGGCCGAGGCGAGAGATCCACCTGCCGTCAGGTAACAGAGATGAGGAGGAAGGGGCCCGCTGGTCCGCAACAGAGGGACAGAGTCAGACCACGGATGAGACTGAGAGAGGGAGCGAGTCACGGTGGAGCGGGATAGACCCGCTGGTCCACCAGGAGGGACAGAGTCAGACCACGGATGAGAGAGAGAGCAAGCGTCAAAGTGCAGTGGGAGGGGCTTGCTGCCCAGTCGGACAGTCTGAGCAGGATGGATCAAAGAGATGTAAAGAAAGCAGAATAGAGGAGAATAAGAGGAGGCAAGGTGAGGAGCAGGTGAGGAGAGGAAGAGCAAAGAAAAGAGGAGATGTGGGAGTGTGGGGGGGGGCAGCATCTAGTATCATCTTGTCCCGGGCCCAGGGAAGGCTGTCAGCTGGCCTGCTCACATGTCACATATTTCTCTTTTAGTAGTACTGGAATGCTACTTTTAAATATAGAGGTGCTTTATAAGATTGTTTGTTATGAAACTGTTCCATTAACACTGCTCGTATATGTGTGTTACACTAGGTGTATGCCGCTTTGTCCCAGGTCCCTAACATGCGTGTCTATGCCAGACAGGAGATCCCTGAACGATTCCATTACAAAGGAGGAAAGTTTGTGTCCCCCCTGACACTTGTGGCTGAGCCAGGCTGGTTCATCACTGAGGTAAGAGATGACGTTGTGTCCACATTTCCACGTTGGTCCTCTCAATTGCATTTGCAGTGAATGCAAAGATAAACAGTAAAAAGACAAATTTGCTTCAGCCATCACATATGAAGCTGTGCATGCAGGACACCATCATTGTATTTTAGAAGGTAGTAGTAATTAAATCTGTGTTTTCTACAGGCTATTTAGTTTCCATATTAGTGTCTAATCACATGGTCCTAATTAGCAAATACAGTCATGGTTCAATAATCCGACACTAAATGTAAAACCTTCTTTTATGTCGGATAGCAAGGCTGTAGGATTATCAGGACGGAGGTCAAGACACAAGGAGGGCTTGGTGCTTGAAGGCCCATTTGTTGTTACTATTCATTGTTATAGTTGTTATAATAACTAATGTATTGTTAGAACACTATGAATCGTGTGTCCTTTTCTGTGCATGCGGGACACTTTGGGTCGTATGAAGTTCACACAGCAGATCACATACAAATTACATTTAAGTGAAAATGTGAACAAACTCACAAAAAATTTGGGTTTCATAAAAAATCTGAATTGAGCATTAAGTCCTGCAGTCTGAACGTGGCCTATCTGTTGGATTGTTCAGTCAGATAATTCGCCGTTATCTTTATTTGTGACATAAAATGTCATGTCGGAGTCAGAATCCAAGGCTGTCGGTATGTTTAGGCTGTTTTCATGAGTTCCATTCATTTTTCCTGAAAACCTGTCGGATAGCAGGGTTTTGGATTTTTAAGGGTCAGATTATCGAGCCACAACTGTAATTTTTGCTAAGTTGTCCAGATATAAAATTTTGGCTTTTGACATTAGTGCTATGAAACCGTTTTGTTTTTGTCTTTTTACAGTGTTTAACTGTATCCCATCACACATGGATTGTTATTGTTCCAGTCAGCAAAACACCATAAATCCAAACTCGGTGTGTGTGTGTGTGTGTGTGTGTGTGTGTGTGTGTGTGTGTGTGTGTGTGTGTGTCTTTACAGAACAAGACAAGACTCCCTTACTGGAAAAATGACTCTGGGGAGGCCTCAGCATGGCAGAATGGCTGGCATGGTTATGACAATGAGTATCTGGACATGAGAGGCTTTTTCTTGGCAACAGGACCTGGTAATGAACCATATTTTAAGAGCACAGTTATTTTTACACATGTGCATGAGACATTAGGTATTTCTTTTCATTATTTGTTTTTTTTGTGTGTGCGGGGCACGGAGTGGTGTCATGGTGGCAGTAGTGATGGTGGTGGTGGTCACGAGTCTGGAGGCAGGAACTGCTCTTTAGAACTCAGTCCTGAAGAAGGATTGTTACAAAAGTACTGTTCTATTCAATGTATATAGAGGAAACCCTTATTGCTTTTATATGCAGTACACAGGATAACTGGTAGATAAATTAAGGTTATACCAACATGTTCAAATGTTAAATTAAAGACTATTATTTGTAAAAAATTAATAATGCTCATAGAAGGGTTCCTTATTCAATTTATTTATCCAAATCCTTGAAATTAGATTAAGGACGGGTAGGAGGTTCCATCTGGAAATGTCTGATTTTAATTTCAAGTTTAGAGGGACTTAGTTGGCTTCAAATAATTTTGTAACATCTTGGGTGAGGTCTAAGTACTTCACTGATTTTTTGTCACATCTCAGACCATATTTATTTAGAAGCTGCTTTGGTGGGTCAAAGTTGAGGCTCAAAATCTGTTTTTTTTTTTACATTTAACTTGTAGCCTGATAATTGACCAAATAACTATGTGTACTTAATTTCATCCAGATTTCAAGCGGAATTGCCGGGCAGCTCCAATTCGATCAGTGGATGTCTACAACCTGATGTGCTGGACATTGGGAGTGGATCCTTTACCCAACAATGGGTCCTGGGCTCGGGTGGAGTATCTGCTGAACGGCTCTGGTGGTCGAGCTCAACCAGCAACTCCCTGGACCTGCTGTATGGTTTTGTTAGGGGTACTGTTGGCAATATGCTACGAAAACATCTAACAGCTGAGGGTTTTTACCGTCTATGAGTAGCTAGAGACAGTTTGCCGGAAACAGAACTTCCAGCCATAGATATGGTATGACGTCATGGTAAAATAGTATTAACAGTAAAAATGAAAATTATGAAACAGTAGAGATATAGTGTGTCAGCAGGACTGTAACTCTATTTTACCTAAAATACTACTAAGTTCTCTCCTAACTATTTTACAGATGATTTGCTGAAAATGTATACAGATTCACTGAACAAAACCTTACTCAGTATTTGTTGTCTAGAAGCTGTTGAATGTAAACTTCTTCTTCCTTTTTTGGGGGGCTGTTCTTTTCAAAATAATCCAGAACATAGTGATGCGTATTAGCCAAATCTTTGCAAGGTCAGAGAATCATTTTCGAAATCACACAACAGTACTTGTATATTGATAGGTTATATACAGTAAAGAATGTCAATGCTGCCTTTGTTTGAAATGGGCAACATCTAAAATAGAGTCATTAAGCGCTGTGTGATGACACATGTTCTAAACTGCGTTATACAATTACAATTGAACTGAACTGAATCATATGCAGTGGCATGAGTTGTACTCTAAAGTGGTAAAGAAAAGCTACCTGTAGGAGATATTTTGGAACCCTAGCATTTCCGGTTGCTTTTTTTCTTTGCTTTGCTTTTAAAATCCAGCACACTTGGTCTGTACTGGATGATTATTGCAACTGAAATGATTATTTTAAAAGAGTATTTCATTTTTGTTAAGCCTATGTATGACACATTGTTTTTGTGAAACGTGATCTATAAATAAATCTGCTTTTTGGAAACATGATTCTGTGTGCCAACATGTTGTGTTCAGTTCAGATGGACGACCCACATGCAGACACAGCTGGCAGACAGGCCGGTGAAATAAACAGATCCAGCACCTGTATGTTGTACTGATTCTAGAATAGAATAGAATAGATTAGAATAGAATAGAATAGAATGCCTTTATTGTCACTATACACATGTACAATGAGATTAAGAGCAGCCCCTTCAGTGCAACATAGCATAATGAGCAAAATAAAGAGCAAAAAGTAAAATAGAAGAGATTTCAATATAAAATAAGATAAGTTATATATACAGTATAAGTTACATATACAGTATGAATTTTAGAAAAATCTTGCACAGCATGGTCAGTGGGATATTGCACATTTAAATAGAGTTCACAGTAGGTGGTTGTGAGGTAGATTTGGGGGTGGGGGGGACGGGACTGTGATGTCAGTGCATGTGTGAGTTCAGAGTGGTGATGGCTTTTGGGAAGAAGCTGTTCTGGAGTCTGTTTTGGTTCCGATGCACCTTTAGCCTCCCTCCCTGAGGGCAGCAGGTCAAACCAGGGTGGGAGTCGTCCTTGATGATATTTTTTGCTCTACTGAGGCAGCAGGAGGTGTAGATGTCCATCAGGGAGGGGAGAGGGCAGCCGATGATCTTCTGGGCTGCCTTTACAACTCTCTGAAGCCTCTCCCTGTTTGCCATGGTGCAGCTGCCGTACCACACTGTGATACAGTAGGTCAGTAGGCTCTCAATGGACGAGCGATAGAAGGTCAGCAGCAGGGTGGGGGTCAGGCTGTGCTTCTTGAGGACCCTCAGGAGGTGAAGCCGCTGCTGCGCCTTCTTGATTATCGCCGTGGTGTTGTCTGTCCAGGAGATGTCAGAGGAGATGAGGATGCCAAGGAACCGGAAGGTGTGGACCCTCTCCACACACTCGCCATTGATGTAGAGGGGGGCTAGATCAGTGCTGAGCCTCCTGAAGTTGACAATGATCTCCTTGGTGTTCTTGGTGTTCAGAGCCAGGTTGTTTTCTGAACACCACGCTGCCAACTTCAGGACCTCCTCTCTGTAGGCTGTCTCGTCTCCCCCTGAGATGAGTCCGACCACTGTGGTGTCGTCAGCGAATTTGACTATGAGATTGTTGCTGTGGGCCAGACGGCAGTCATAGGTGTAGAGACAATACAGGAGGGCGCTCAGCACGCAGCCCTGTGGGGAGCCGGTGCTCAGCGTCCGCGTGGAGGAGAGGTGGGGGCCGAGTCTCACAGTCTAGGGCCGGTTGGTGAGAAAGTCATTTATCCAGGCACATGTGAGAGGGGGGAGGCCGAGAGTGTCCAGTTTGCTGATGAGAATGTTCGGAATAATTGTGTTGAATGCCGAGCTATAATCCACAAAGAGCATGCGGACGTAGCTCTGCTGCTGCTCCAGGTGGGACAGTGCAGTGTGGAGAGCTACGGCAATGGCGTCCTAAGTCGATCTGTTTGCACGATATGCAAACTGGTAGGGATCGAAGTCCAGCGGGAGATAGTCCTTGATCAGAATCAGAATCAGAATCAGAATTAGAATCAGAATCAGAATCAGCTTTAATGGCCAAGTACGTACACAACATACAAGGAATTTGGTTTCGGCTGTTGGTGTCACCCTAGGAATTTGCACGAATAACAGAAATAGGAAAATTTAAAAAAAGTAAAATAACTCAAGAAAGAAAAGAATAATATACAATAAATATTAATAAAAAAATAAAACAAGATAATAAGACAAATATATACAAGAATTTACGCATCTAGTAGAAAAAGGTATATGTATATTAGTGCAAAATAGAAGGTCAAATAGCAGTTGTGGCTTGGAGTGGCTCAGCTGTTCAGTAGGGTTACGGCAGTGGAATAAAACTGTTTTTGTGTCTGGTGGTTTTAGTCTGCAGGACTCTGTATCGCCTGCCAGAGGGGAGGAGGGAGAACAGTTTGTGACCAGGATGAGTGGGGTCTGTGATGATGTTCCCTCTTCCTGGTTCTATTGGAGTACAGTTCCTGGATGGAGGGCAGGGGGCTCCCATGATCTTTTCAGCTGTTCTGACTGTGTGCTGCAGCCTGTTTCTGTCCTGCAGTGTGGCTGCTCCAAACCACACAGTGACAGAGCTGCACAGGACAGCTTCGATGACGGCGGTGTAGAACTGAGTCAACAGCTCCTGTGGCAGGCCATGTCTCCTCAACTGTCGCAGGAAGTACATCCTCTGCTGAGCCTTTTTGAGGATGCAGCAGATGTTCTTCTCCCACTTCAGGTCCTGGGTGATTGTCGTCCCCAGGAGCTTGAAGGACTCTACAGCTGACACAGGGCTGCTGCTGATGGTGAGGGGGAGCAGTGGCGAGGGCCGTCTCCTGAAGTCTACTCTCATCTCCACAGTCTTGAGCTTGTTCAGCTCCAGGTTGTTCTGGCTGCACCAAAAACACCAGCCGCTCAACCTCCTGCCAATATGCAGACTCGTCACCGTCCTGGATCAGGCCGATGACTGTAGTGTCGTCTGCAAACTTCAAGAGTATGACAGATGGGTGCTTGGAGGTGCAGTCGTTGGTGTAGAGGGAGAAGAGAAGTGGAGACAGGACACATCCCTGGGGGGCGCCAGTGCTGACAGTCCGGGTTGAAGAGGTGATGTCTCCCATCCTCACCTGCTGACTCCTGTCTGTCAGGAAGCTGGTGATCCACTGACAGATGGATGGAGACACATTGAGGAGGGAGAGTTTGGTAGAGAGGATTCCAGGGATGATGGTGTTGAAAGCCGAGCTGAAGTCCATAAACAGGATCCTTGCGTAACTCCCAAGGCCATCTAGATGTTGCAGGATGTAGTGCAGCCCCAGATTGACTGCATCATCCGCTGACCTGTTTGCCCGATAGGAAAACTGCAGGGGGTCCAGCAGAGGACCCACCGTGGGCCTCAGGTGGCTCAACACCAGTCTCTCGAACGACTTCATGACCACAGATGTCAGAGCCACTGGTCTGTAGTCGTTCAGTCCTGTGATGGAGGGTTTCTTGGGAACCGGTATGATTGTGGAATGTTTGAAGGTAGAGGGGACTTCACATTGCTCCAGGGACCTGTTAAAGATCCTGGTGAAGACTGGAGCCAGCTGGTCA